TAGGTGGCATTCTACCTTCAATAGCTAGAAGAAAATTATGTCAGCTTGTTAATATACCCTTCATTCAAAATATGAGCAATTCCAGAAGAAGAAGAGGAAGAAGAGATTGGATTTCTACCCCACCCTTCACTACCCAAGGGAGTCTCAGAGTGGCTTACAAACTGCTTTCCCTTCCCCTCCCCACAACAGACACCCTGTAGGGTAGGTGGGGCTGAGAGAGCTCTAACAGAAACTGCTCTTTTTCAAGAACAGCTGTGCCAGAACTATGGTTTGCCCAAGGTCATCCAGCAGGTGCAAGTGGCGGAGTGGGGAATCAAACCCAGTTTTCCCAGGTTAGAGTCCGCACACTTAACCACTACACCAAACTGGTTCTTTACATAGTCTTGAAAAACCAGTATTCTAGGATTGTTAGTGGAGAGGTGGTGGTAAAAGGTGGATCTTAGTTTGAAAACACTGCTGGTTAATGAGGCATTAATCTTTTCATCGTTTCCTTCAAAGAAATCCTTAACAATTATGTTTTGGTTTTAAAATACTCACACAATAATTACTCTAAATCAATTGTTTTCTTTTCCCTTTTCCTTTTTTTTCAAGATGTTCAGTGCTTTGGTCAAGCATGCTGTAATTTTTAACAGAAACACTGTATGGTGTGTATCATACAAATTTAAACCATTGAGGAAGACCTCATGGCCAAAAAGCATTTGGTTTTGTTGTTTACATGTGTTTTATTTTATTTATAATTGCATCCGGTCATAGGAAAGATACCCGTAAGTGTGCGACAACCCCATGTGTAGAAGTGCAATTTTACTAAGAAGGTACACTATATAAAAAATCAAAAATTGATGGATTTTGATGCACACTTTTTAATATTTATAATTTGTTTTAAAAATTGGAATATAATATTAGCTCTTTTTAACTGACATTTTATTTCCATATTTAACTATCCTATTTAATTAATGTATGGTTTTATTGTTAGATGATATGTTGTAAACTGCCCCCGCTCGTGGAGTAGGACGGGATAAAAGTCCCAAAAATAAATAAATATCTAAGGGTTTCCCCCCCTCTCTTAATAATAATAATAATAATAATAGTAATATACTTTATTGTCATTGTACACAGTACAACGAAATTAAAGGTGCAATCTTTTTCAGTCTTTCCAAACTTTTAGGTTACCTGGTCTGTTCTGGGTTGAAATCCCCCATTTTTATTCATCTTCACACTTCTACACACACATTATAGTGTTCTGTGACCATTATAATACAAGTGTTACTCTAACACATTTGTAGAATGCCTAAAACTGGCACACATAAGTCTTAGCTCAGAAAAAAGTCCTACTCCTATGAAATAGAAAACTAGTATAGCTGTATAAAAACAAAAATAGTGAAAGCATAAAACCAAAACATACCTCTTCACATAAAAAACCAAACACAAGTTGTATCATTGGTGGGCTTATCTACAATATTTAGTATTTGTCCAAAATCATACAAGCCATAACCCTGTTGTCTTGACTCCACTCAGGGATATCCTTTTCTCCTTTCCAATTCCTTTCTGGCCTTTTAATGCACTTTAAATAGGGCTGCCTTTCAAAATGTCCCTGAAACGTCAACTCATCCAAAATGCAGGGGCAGGATACAGGGACTGTATCACCCGAGTGTGAAAGATCTGCACTGACAGTCCATTTGTTTCCAGGCACAATTCAAAGTTCTGGTTCTTACCTTTAAAGCCCTAAATGGCTTGGGGCAAGGATACTTGAAGATCCACCTCCTCCAATATTGTCCAGCTGACAGAGTTCTGCCTCATAAACTCTGTGCCTCCAAGTAATCAGCCTCCGCCTTCAGAGGTGATACAGGTGGCAACCAAAGACAGGACTTTTTCAGTAGTGGCACCTCATTTGCGGGATCTACTTCTAGGTGCCAAGCTAAAACAATTCTATTCACCCAGGCTTTTGTGACCTATGTTTTTTCTGCTGGGCTGGGACCTTTTAATGCTGGATTTTAAGTAAAATCTTTTAGTGTTTTGTTTTTATTATTTTTATTTTGTAAGCTACTTTGGGCAGGTTCCTGGAGAGGCTACATACAAATGTTCTAAATAAACATATTTTATCTATGCCAGCTAACATGCAGATATGAGAAGCTATTACGATGTGTCACATTTAATTTGTTCACAAATGTTCTGGAATCGGAAGCAATCAGTAAAATAAACTGCATTTGATGACATCAAAATTATTCAGTATGATGAAATCCAGGTAATCTGTAAAGAGCTCCAATAGAACCTCCCCAAACTAGAAACTGAATAGCAGAATAATGGAGAAGATTCAACAAAACAAGTACAGTGATGTATATTGTGAGAAAACATCTACGCAGATATATTTCTGTCATCATGACTCCTGCTGTCCTGAATTACCTCAGCTCCCTCCCTGGTAAACTCCCATGCCATATGAATATAATTAGCTGTCTTTGTGACTTTCAGCACATGGATACAGACATATAAACCTATAAACATGTAAAGATCTTCTTATTTATTTCTTCCTGTGTTACCTAGCAAAAAACCCCTTAAATATTTTAGGATGCAGCATCGTACACAAAGATCTTATTTTATTTCTTTCTGTGTTATTTAGCAAACAAAGCTTAAATATTTTAGGATGCAGCAGCTTACACAAGTATGTCTGAGGTTACTGTTTGAGTGAAAGCTAAAGAATACATTTTTATTTTATAAATCTGCTAAACAATACTTCATCTGCTAGATAAGAGATGTAATATTGCATGTTCTTGCAGCAGTAAACGCAGTTAAGCCTGATGTTGGGTTTGAATAATATATTTCAATTTTCCTCAACCTTTTTAAAGGTGGGATTTTTTTTTACCCAGCAATATTCTAACTGGATCACAAAATCTGTGAGAAAATGCTATGACTGGTTCCAGGATATAAGAAGTTCCAGATGCAATAGTATCACCAGTCTAGGACATTCAAGCACTTCTAAAATTAACAAGGGAGGTCCAGGGATAGCAGCTTTGATTTTTGAGATAGCATAACTATCATCCTAAGTAATTTGAGGATATAGCTACCTTACCAAGACCTGTTTTACCATTAGGAAAAGAGAACCAGATACCTCAAGCACTAGATTTGGGGTCCCAATAAGGAACAGCAGCTGTCATTATTTTATACATTTTAACTATATTTGGATTTTCCACATGAGACATCAAAATCAACTGGCCTAGCCCTACTACTTCCAGTGCTATGCTGCTGATGAGAAACCAATCTTGTTTTTGCTGAACTGGGCTAAGGCTCATTTCATTCTCACCAATCATAGCCTGGAAACTGCTTCACTGTCGAATCCATGGACTATGTTCTAGGAGCCCATTGCATGCCTCCTTCCTGAATGATGATCAAATGGTAAGGAACCATGCAATGGGCTTCAGTTATATAGTCCATGGATTCAAAATACACCCCAGAGCAACACTGGATCTCATCATAGGAGGGGCTTGTGTGTAAGAAGGCCCATTTGACAACACACACAATTACCAGCCTCACATAACATATTCACTAAAGAACTACAGTGCTTCAGACTACAAATGAAAGTCTCTTTCCTTGTCTATAAAAGGCCCTGGACATTCAACATCATTATGTCAGGGAGAATACTAGGCTAGAACCTAATGATATGCTTCTTTTGAATCTGTAATGCTTGTTATTTTTACATGGACACATTTACATGGGAAGTTTACCTTTCAGGACAGTTCTTAGGACCAGAAGAGAATGAAAGAACTAGAAAATTCTGATTCCTAACTGACCAGAAGAGCATCACCAACAGTTAAACTCAAAGTATCCTTGGCCAGGTATTAATTATTCCTTTTATAATGAAACTCACATACTATTTTTCCCAAAGAAATGCCTTACACTCTTACAAAATCTAGCAGAGATGGAGACAATTTTGTTTCTCTAGCTCTGCCCTTAACTTCCCAATGATATGACAGGGATAAGAAAAACACCAGGATTTTGGCAAATGCAAGTATATCAAATGGAGAGCCCTTTAAATTTCATCTGCACTCTAAACACAAAGGTGTGCTACAGTTAACATTCCTATCACAATCACCCATCAGTACAGTTAGAAAATTTATTTAAAAGATGACAAGTAAGAGAACGCTCAGCTGCACCAGTCAACAATTAATCTCTACAAACGCGGAGGAGCCCTAGAGCTAAAGAATCCAGGCACACAGGGTAACTCCCCCAGATCAAAGCAACATTCCAGTTTTCTCCCTTGTTCTCTCTCCTCCCTTCCTTTCCACATGTAGCAACCACTGACACATAGTAACACCTCTCAGTCCACTACCCCAAGAAAAGCAGCCTTCTTTTAGGGAATTAAAAAAACAGACAAAGTGAAGATCCACATAACCTTTTTCTCTGCCCACACAACCATCTTCTTTGCCTTTTCGCTGAGCACCTCCCCCAAGAAGTCAAAACGGGCACTAGGGACCCTCAAATCCCAAGGCAATATAGACTGCGTGACCAAGGCTGTTACTCTGAAAGATCACAGCTGTGTAGTTGGTGGAATAAAAATATTACCTCAAATTGAAATGGGGACACCCATATCCACGTACACCACACGGAGCTCATAGAAAGAAGGCTGGGAGGACGAATGGATTTTTTTTTTTTAAATACCAATAATATCCCTGGAAGGAAGGGGAGAGGAGGGGAGGGATGAGGCGCTACTACGATGAAAGGGGATTTCAGGTCAGACATGGGGGCGGGTTAAAGCACTGAGGAGCGCAACATGCGCGGCGCTGAAAAGCCGGCGGTGGGAATGGGGAGACAGCCCCCAACAGACCATCCTGGGCAGGAGAGGTCATGAGGAGGGAGAAACAGCAGGCCGGGAGGGACGTAACTGAGAAGGACCCTTGCGGGACGGGAGGCTGACCCGGCCGGACGACGTGGGACTGAACCATCCACTCTCTCTCCCTGTCCCCCACCTCCGCCGCCGCCGCCGCTACAAGGACTTCCCTCCCTCTCACCCGAACGGAGCAGGGAATCTCAGCCACGCTTCCTCCGGGCTCAGGTTCTGGCTGCCCCGCCATGCCGGGCCGGGCCGGGCCCGTGGCAGCTACTGGCCTGAGGAGCAGGAGTCGATCGCCAATCACACAATTGGGCGGGACTCCCATTGGCCAATGGTGGAAGGCAAGGGGCTTTCTCCGCACGGCTCTTAGCGGTTGCGGGACTTCGGTGGGCTTCCAACCGCCCAATCAGAAACGAGAAGGGTTTGCAGCCGCTCAAGCGTAGGAAAGAAGGAGGCTAGCGGCTGCCCAATCGTTTGAGGCAAGGCGTGAAGGGGACAAAGAAGTGTCCAATCGGCGAGGGCGCATCTTTTCCACTCTCTCCCTTTCCCCCTCCCTTTTAACCCTAGACCGAGAGTTCGGGTTCCTCTTTAGGCAACGGTGGAGGGGGAGGGTCGCTGCAAAGACTTTAGGGAACGGTGGAGGGGGAGGGTCGCTGCAAAGACTGGGAAGGCCGGGTCAGGCCCGCAGACGCATGACTGGGACCTCAGACGCTGTGAGAGAAGGGAAAGGTGGCGGTCATCTGACTGGCGAAGCGGTTGACCGCTACGAAGAGATCTGATTTCAGCGTGGGAGTTCGTCTCTTTTTCTGAGCATTCCAGAAGAGCTGTGTTAATCTGTGGTAGCAAAAGAACACAGGAGTCTGTCAATGCTCCCTCTATGCTGTGGAATCCTGTGAGCAAAAATTCTTCTTTGTGAGCTCCTGGCATTAAAGTTGTGAGCGAGCGATTTGGCTACTGCCTAAATCAGTTTGCCCTGGAGGCATCCTTCCTGAGGGAAGACAAAAACGTGTGAGCCGGGGGCTAAAAGACTGTGAGCTAGCTCACACTAACTCAGTTTAGAGGGAACACTGCTGGTGGTATCTTCAAGACTTTATTCCAGAATAAGATTTCGTGAGTTATGCAGAAGTAAAATCTTGAAGGAGCTACTGGACTTCTGATTTATTTTGCTGCTGTAGATTTATGGAAACCGTAAAACAAACCAAAAACCTAAGCAGAAACCATCAGTGGCATTCTTAAATCCAGATTAAGCTGCCCACCTCCAAAAGTGGGTACCAGCGGAAAATTAATCCGTCTGCAACGGAGAGCGCAGGCAGAAGGATAGCGGAAGCATAGAGATACTTAGACGGACCTGGCAGCCAGATGGTGCTGAAGTACAGCTTGCTGGACTCAGTTCTCTTCACGTTCCCCACTACCCTTATCGCTTCCTGTGACCACCACTTACATCGGAGGAATCTATGTGCTTGCTTTTTTTTTTTTAACCTGATCCGGCACGAAAAAAACAACGGCTGTGGCTCCCTAGCCAGAGCTGGAGTAAGAGCAAAGATTAAGACGGCGCCAAGGCATTCCAGCAGAAATTCCGTCGAGATGAGCCGGCAGCAAGATGCTGGTTTGGGTCCTCTCCGGAAAGATTCTGGGCGTAAAAAACCCCAGCAGGATCTCAGGAGGGGAGGAGGCTACCTGTTTCAAGGCATCTCCTCCAAGGATTTGCAATGGGCTCCCCCTAAAACAACACTGAGAAGTATGCTCATAGGTATCAGAATAAAATACACTACAGAAAGAAGTGTGCTGAGAATGTGACCTATACCCATGTGACCTATGTCTGTAGAAGCAAGATAGACAAAGTGGTTATAGGAGCGTGTCAGAGTAAGGATGGACTATGACTGTCCCCTAAATCCATTATAATAATGGGTCTGGCTTTGAGGAGGGGACAATTTGTTTGCCCTCATCTCTGCAAAGTGAGATCCCCCAAAAATAAAATAGCTGTAGAGAAAACTGAGATAACAAATCTAATGAGGGGGAGAATTTCCAAAGGGATTAGGTCTTAAATTTAGGACCGTATTTGTCACTGTGGAAAACAGACTGGTGTAAAGGAAGAGAGGAACCCTCAAAACTGGAATGATCATTGTTCCCCATCCATGAATCTGACCTTGCTATCAGGTTTCTGACACAACATATTTGGGCAGATAACTCTTTCTACAAATGTTTAAAAGGTCTTGTAAAGGCAGGTAATGTTATAGACAATGTTTCTTTCCTAGTCCAAATTGCCAATCCTCAATTTTGCATGCTTTCTACCTATTCTTATTTCATTAATTTGTTGTAGTTTTATTCCACCATTCTGTTAAGGAGCTCATGGCAGTGCAGACTGACATCTTATTTTTCCTCACAACAGCCCTGTGAAGTAGGTTGGCAGATAGTGACTGTTCCAAGGCAACTCAATGAATTTATAGCACAGTAGGGATCTGAACCCTGTTCCTTACTGCAAGAGAACAACTTGTCTGTTTGTATAATATTCTATGTTCAAAGCAAATGTCTCATGCCATTTTGCTGTCAGCAATTATTATTTCCTGAACACTTATATAAACAAGTTGTTGACTTTAAAAAACAAAGGTACAGGCACAGTGAGTGCTAGGGAGCTGTACAGTAAAAAGGACACCATTGGGAAATAAAAGCTGTAATTTGGGGATTTTGAAGGAAAAGAGAAATTTTAAAAATGGGCAAGGAGAGAAATGAGTGAACAAGAGAAATTAAGATGTTTGGAGGTCTGCAAAGTGTGAATAGAATATGAGAAGACTGAGGGAGCTAATGCAGTGAGTAGAAAAGAACAAAATTATAATACAGAGCGGAATAAATTAATCTGAAGAATTCTGTGGAAGAAAGAGGCTTGAAAGAAGAGACAGGAAGATGAAACAACAGAGTAGCAATAATCAGTGCAGTCCATTCTTCTCAAGTAAACCTTAAGAAACGCATCTAATCTTAGGTGTAGGTGTCTGCTGAAGTCTTTTTGCCAGTGGTGCTGAGATCTGAACGTACTATAGCCAAACAGATCTACATATCTATTATCCAGATGCCATGTCACAACTGATCCTTTGCTTCCATTTGGCCAAAAGGAGTGATATGATTGTATGCAGGTTCATTTCCGTTGAGGCTAAGGACTATGATGGAACAATTCCTTGTTGCTTCCTTTACTGCTGAAGTGTAGCCTATATTGCCTCTGATGTTATCAGATCACAATTAATGTCAAATTCTTTCAACTCACACCTTCTGTTCAAATCCACAAATGACACAGTTGTAGGGCTGGTGAAACAATCTCCTTAAGAACACTTACTTGATTTGGTTTACCTTAAGAATTTTTATCTTGTTTTAATTGACCCTGTTCCTTTTCTGTCATTCCCAGATTTTTCAGTGCTTGGTAATGACTATGATTTTTAATACTCTTCCAATTTTGTCAAGGATTTTATCTATTTTCCTACTTGCTTCTCTCAGTTTCAATTAAAATTGTTTAGAGTGCTCTTTTTCAGCTTGTTAGGGATTTTCCAGTAAGTAAGGCCTGTGGAATGTGGAGATGACTGGGTGTGGACATGATGGCTCTTCTTTCTCTTGTAGCCCAGAATGCTCTAACAGTGCGACAAGGGAATGGTTGGGCAGATGGCTGGAGAACAAGTGGAGGAAAACTGGAATCTAATATGTGAGAGCGCACGATCATACTTAGTCTCTGACAGTAAAGGCAGTGAGGGGGTGAACAAACATGTGGACAAGGGGGATCCAATAGATATTGTTTACCTTGACTTCCAGAAAGCTTTTGATAAAGTTCCTCATCAATGGCTCCTAAGTAAGCTCAAAAATCATGGGATAAAAGGACAAGTCCTTTTATGGATCAAAAACTGGCTAATTAATAGAAAACAGAGAGTGAGTATAAATGGGCAGTTCTCTCAGTGGAGGGGGGTAAGCAGTGGAGTACCGCAGGGATCAGTACTTGGTCCACTGCTTTTTAACTTGTTCATTAATGATTTGGAGTTGGGAGTAAGGAGTGAAGTGGCTAAATTTGCAGATGATACGAAGTTGTTCCGGGTGGTGAAAACCAGGGAGGATTGTGAGGCACTCCAAAGGGATCTGTCAAGGATGGGCAAGTGGGCATCAACATGGCAAATGGGGTTCAATGTGGCCAAGTGCAAGGTGATGCGCATTGGAGCCAAAAATCCTAAATATAAATACACATTGATGGGGTCTGAACTGGCAGAGACTGATCAAGAGAGAGATCTTGGAGTTGTAGTAGATAACTCACTGAAAATGTCAAGACAGTGTGACTGCAATAAAAAAGGCCAATGCTATGCTGGGGATTATTAGGAAGGGTATTGAAAACAGCTCAGCCAATATCATAATGCCCCTATATAAATCAATGGTGCGACCTCATTTGGAGTACTGTGTGCAGTTCTGGTCACCACACCTTAAAAAGGATATTATAGCTTTGGAAAAAGTGCAGAAAAGGGCAACTCGAATGATAAAAGGGTTGGAACACTTTCCCTATGAGGAAAGGTTAAAGCGCTTAGGGCTCTTTAGCTTGGAGAAACGACGACTGGGGGGTGACATGATTGAGGTTTATAAGGTTATGCATGGGATAGAGCAGGTAGAGAAAGAGGTACTTTTCTCCCTTTCTCACAATACAAGAACTCGTGGGCACTCCATGAAATTGCTGAGCGGTCGGGTTAGAACGGATAAAAGGAAGTACTTCTTCACCCAAAGAGTGATTAACACATGGAATTCACTGCCACAGGAAGTGGTGGCGGCTACAAGCATGGACAGCTTCAAAAGGGAATTTGATAAGCATATGGAGCAGAGGTCCATCAGTGGCTATTAGCCACAAGGTATAGATAGGGACTCTGGGGCAAGTGATGCTCTGTCTTCTTGGTGCTTGGGGGGGGGTTCGACAGTGGGAGGGCTTCTAATGTCCTGGCCCCACTGGTGGACCTCCTGATGGCACCTGGTATTTTTGGCCACTGTGTGACAGAGTGTTGGACTGGATGGGCCCTTGGCCTGATCCAACATTGGTGTCTCTTATGTTCTTATGAACCAAGCTCACTTTCCAAACCATCATTGTCTCTGTTAAATAGAGGAGAACTGCACTGGAGAAAGGCAGCTTCCCCCAACTGTAGCCTTTGTGTCTTGCAGTTGTGTTCCTGCAGGTCAGTGAAACCCAGGAACAGTTTGAGGGAAATGGTGAGGTATATGGTGGGGGGAGGGATTTGGTGAAAATCATC